TCCTTGTCTCTGGTCTTCCCCGGTCCCTCCCTCCACTTCCTTCGGGGCCTGGCCCTACCTGCGTCCCCTGTGTCGAGGGACGACAGCGGGCTACCCCTCACTCCTCCCAGTTTCCTCCGACAGAGGCCCCGCTGCAGACGCTTCACATGGACGTGTGGGGCCCGGCCCGCGTCCGTGGACAGGGTCACGAGCGCTACTTCCTACTGGTGGTTGACGACTACTCGCGTTACACCACAGTCTTCCCCTTGCGCAGCAAGGGTGATGTCACTGAGGTGTTGATCGACTGGATCCGCGCAGCTCGTCTCCAGCTCAGGCGGAGCTTCGGCTCGGACTTTCCTGTTCTGCGTCTGCACTCTGACAGAGGCGGAGAGTTCTCCTCTGGCCTTCTGCGAGCCTACTGTCGTGCACGAGGCATCCGTCAGACCTTCACGCTTCCGGACTCTCCACAGCAAAATGGGATTGCTGAGCGCCGCATTGGCATGGTCATGGACGTCGCCCGTACGTCCATGATGCATGCGGCTGCCCCCCATTTTCTGTGGCCGTTTGCGGTTCGGTACGCGGCGCATCAGATCAACCTTCAGCCCAGGGTCTCCATGCCGGAGACCTCCCCAGCCTTGCTGTGGACGGGGAAGGTTGGCGATGCGTCTGCGTTCCGTGTCTGGGGATCTCGGGCGTTTGTCCGCGACTTTTCTGCGGACAAGCTGTCCCCTCGTGCTGCTCCTTGCTTCTTCCTGGGTTTCCCCCCCTGACGCCCCAGGGTGGCAGTTCTACCACCCCACCTCTCGCCGTGTTCTGTCCTCCCAGGACGTCACGTTCGACGAGTCGGTCCCCTACTACCGCCTCTTCCCCTACCGCACTCCGTCCCTCCCCCCGCCACCGCTCTTCCTTGTACCAGGTCCCCCCCCGGTAGACCCCCTCCCCCCTCAGGGTCCTGCCCCTTCAGGTGTGTCCCAGGTAGACGCTGTTGAGCCTGTCGAGGTCGCTGGTGACTCTGGTGCTGCTGAGGGTGCTGAGCCTGGGGGTGCTGACTCTGGGGGTGCTGAGCGTGTGGGTGCTGACTCTGGGGGTGCTGAGCGTGTGGGTACTACGACTGGGGGTGCTAGGCCTGGGGGTGCTGCGTCTGGGGGTGCTGAGCCTGGGGGTGCTACGCCTGGAGGTGCTGAGCCTGGGGGTGCTGCGTCTGGGGGTGCTGAGCCTGGGGGTACTACGCCTGGAGGTGCTGAGCCTGGGGGTGCTACGCCTGGTGGTGCTGTGCCTGGAGGTTCTCCGGGTGCTCCTCCTCGCCGGGAGCCACTCTCTCCCCAGGAGCTGCGTGAGTGGTTTGCCCGGCGCTGGAGGCGAGCTGCTGGAGCTGGAGGTGCTGCGGGTACTGGAGGTTCTGTTGCTGCTGAGAGAGCTGGTGCCACGGGTCCCGGAGGTGCTCGTACTGGGAGTACTGGAGCTGCTGGACCTGCGGGTACTTCTGGAGCTGGAGTTGCTGCGGGTGTTGGCGCGGAGACTACTGCTGTCGGTCCTGGAGGCGGTCCTGCTGGGGGTACTACTGGTGCTGCTGGGGGTTCTGGAGCTGGAGGTGCTACTGGTGCTGGTGCTGCCACTGGGGGTGCTGGTGCTGTCCCTCCTGTGTCTGGAGTCGCCGCGCGGCCTCGGCCGTACTTCGTTCCGCTCCTTCAGCAGGTTCTTGGTCTCCCGCCTTCTACTGGTCCTCCTCCTCCCTTAGAGTGTCCACAGCCTGTCCCGTCGCAGTTACAGTTACAGCCGGCCTCCCCACTGCCTGCTCCGTCTCCCTACACTGGTCCTACTGGAGGTCTTGCTGAGCGTCGTGAGCCTGCGTCTCGCCCTGCGTCGCCTGTCCGTGCTGCTCGCACTAGTGGTCGCGGTTCGCGTCAGCGTCCTCCTCCTGTCCCTGGCACGCACCGGATGTCTCTGCGTCCGTCCACTGCTCCTCTGCGTGCCCCTTTGCCTTCTCCTCCTGAGTCTTCTCTTCCTGCTCTTGCCGACCCGGAGTCGGACTCTCTTCGTGCTGCCAGTCCTACTGTCACGCGTCTCCTTGCTACTGTTGTCACTGACCCTTCCGTTGAGTCCACTGCTGCGTCTGCCCTAGTTGCTGAGCTCGTCGACTTTGCTGCTCGCTGTCGCCTAGACTACGTCGCTAGTCTTGTTGCTGAGTCTGAGTCTGTCTGTCCTCCGTCCGTCGGGGGTGAGTGTGCCCTTGGCACGGACGTCCTTGAGGACAGGCAGGAGGAGTTCCAGTGCTTGGCCGCTGCTTCACCTCATCTCGTGTCCGTACTGCTTACCCCTGAGGGAGACCCGGATGCACTTGACATCCCGACTCCGCGCTCTTACGCGGAGGCGATAGAGGGTCCCTACTCCTCTCAGTGGCAGGCAGCTATGGACGCAGAGATGGCTTCCTGGAAGTCCACAGGCACCTACGTTGACGCTGTTCCCCCTCCTGGGGCGAACATCGTCAGTGGCATGTGGATTTTCAGGGTGAAGCGACCGCCGGGTTCTTCGCCTGTCTTCAAGGCGCGTTACGTGGCTCGTGGCTTCAGTCAGCGGCAGGGAGTTGACTACTTTCAGACCTTCTCTCCCACCCCGAAGATGACCACTCTTCGGGTACTGCTGCACGTAGCTGCTCACCGTGACTACGAGCTACACTCTCTTGACTTCAGCACTGCTTTCTTGCAGGGCAGCCTGCACGAGGAGATCTCGCTGCGTCGCCCACCTGGCTTCACTGGGTCTTTTCCTCCTGGCACCCAGTGGAGCCTACGGCGGCCAGTCTACGATCTCCGCCAGGCACCGCGTGAGTGGCACGACACACTGAGGACTACACTTGCGGCTCTTGGGTTTGCTCCCTCTACTGCCGACCCGTCGCTGTTTCTGCGCACCGACACTTCTTTGCCGCCGTTCTACATCCTCGTGTACGTCGACGACTTGGTCTTTGCCACAGCTGACACTGCTGGACTAGCCCACGTGAAGTCCGAGCTGCAGAAGAGACACACGTGCACTGACCTGGGTGAACTGCGCAGCTACCTTGGCTTGCAGATCACTCGGGACAGAGCACGCCGCACCATTACCCTGACTCAGTCACACATGGTGCAGCAGGTCCTTCAGCGCTTCGGCTTCACGTACTCCTCGCCTCAGGCCACTCCTCTGCCTACTCGCCACTTGCTCTCAGCTCTGCCTTCGGATGAGTCCGTAGAGTCGAGTGGCCCGTACCCAGAGCTTGTTGGCTGCCTCATGTACCTGATGACCTGCACACGACCTGACCTTGCATACCCTCTTAGCATTCTTGCACGCTATGTTGCTCCTGGGAGACACAGACCGGAGCACATGGCTGCAGCGAAGAGGGTGTTGCGCTACTTGTGCAGTACGTCGGGCATGGGGCTTGTGCTTGGAGGGCAGAGTCCAGTGGTCCTTACTGGGCACGCAGACGCTTCTTGGGCTGACAACCAGGCTACGCAGCGGTCGTCACAGGGTTACACCTTCAGCCTTGGTTCCGGCTCTGTTTCGTGGCGGGCTACCCGCTCGTCTTCTGTTCTCGGCTCCAGTTGTGAGGCTGAGATCTACGCAGGAGCCATGGCTGCACAGGAGCTTCGCTGGCTCACCTACCTGCTGACTGACCTCGGAGAGCTGCCTCGTTCTCCTCCAGTGCTGTACGTAGACAACAAGGCCATGCTGGCCTTGTGTCGGGAGCAGTGACTGGAGCACAGAACGAAACACATTGCTCTCCGCTACTTTCTTGCTCGTGAGCTGCAGCAGCGTGGTCAGCTGCGTCTTGCGTACGTGGCCTCTGAGGCCAACACTGCTGATATCTTCACCAAGGCGCTTGCGCCTTGTGACCATCAGCGCTTCTGTACTCAGCTGGGCCTTGTGCCTACCTTGCCTCACTTGCTCACCTCTTGACCTTGCTTGTGGTGTTACATATATATATACCTGCTCTTGCTTGTCTAGCCTTTATATATATATATACTCCTGCATGTGAACTGGCCTTGTGGCCTTGAACTTGTGCTCGGAATGTGTGGTGACTTTGTGATCCACCCTGAGCTTGCTTTGCTTTACTTTGCTTGACTGGTCTTGTGACCCCTTGTTCTCCCCCACTTTGCCTATGGGGGTGTGTCAGAATATTATAGCTCATGCATATTGTGTAGGCTATAGTGGGGTAGCCCATAAGAGGTACAACCCAATTATGGTTAGTACTTGTACCCAATTCATTCATAGTTCATTCATTCCTTGTTTCTTATCACGTTGACCTGGTTTGATTACTTCGCGTTTGATTAATTTGTTGAGTCAGCAAATCAACCGCTAGGGACACCTCATCACCACACCAATAATACTTTCAACAGATGAGCCCTCCAATGAGCACTAGCAAGAGCTCTGGTCGCAAACCGATAATTTCCTAGGAGCAATCGCCTGCTCAGCAAAATGAAGATTGCATTTTGGAAGTTTTGGTCGTAAACTAATGACATAGCACTAATGTACGCGTTCGTCTGCTTCGGTCAGCTTGCGATCGCCGGACCGCTGGTCACTCAGCAGCAGGCATCACGATTCCAAACGAGTGCATTCCGAGCCACAATGTCAAACTTTGGATGGAATGGAAGATAAATTGGGGCGGATTCGCACATTCTGAATCAGCCTTCTCTCACACACGTCCTTCATCGTTACAGCTACTAGTAGCCCTTTTAGCTTATCTTAGTAGCGCCACTAGCTCCTTGGTACGGTTCATCCTACACTTCAAAAAACCCTTTGAAGTAATAGCACCACCAGCATCCAACGGTGCACGTCTCCACCACGATGGCGAATCACAAGACTCTCTTGACGCTCTTTATTTCGTTCACCATCATCGGTAAGAACCTCCTATACTTTTGTGTATCGAAAATTTGGGAGCCGTTCAAACTTCGGTACGGTTCATCTTACCTCGTTGGATATTCTTTCATTGTACTAACTACACCTGCGCGACCTTGCCGTCAATTTTTGATATCGCAGCATGCAGCCTCCAGTCTATGGCGGCCGATAGCTCACTCAATCAACTTCAGACCCAGCGCAAACTTCAAGTTACTGACTTCACTGCTGTTCCCGCCATTGCCACCGCCGCTATCCCAGCTGATGTCTCCGCCGATATCCCCGTCAAGGTCCCCGCTAATTTGCCCGCCGATGATGTGCCGCCCGCCGATGTCCCCACTGATGACACCACTGATGGCACCACTGATGACACCACTGATGACACTTACTATGATTATCCTACTCCTGACCCCTCGAAGGTGACCCCGATCGTGACGGTGGTGACCGTCAGTGGCTCGTTACACAAGTTCGAGAAGCCGTATTGCTTCAACCTCAAGGCCAACGGGCGCGGCACAAGAGCGAAGAGCGTGACGGTGTGGTGGGACGGAATGCCGAATCTTCCTGGCAACGTGATGAAGGCCCTCCGCGGTGGCAAGGGCGGCAAGCGGACTCGAGTCTCATCATGCGACGAGGTGGTGTTCATCTCAGGAATGGACTGCTTCGGCAACGTCGTTGGACCCGAAATGACCAAGCCCAAGGCCAACCCTCAGCGAAATATTTTCCGCCTCCCCAAATCTACGTAAGCTCTCCGCCAAGCACTGCTGCTCCCTGCTTTCCACGCGGTGCTTCCTGCTGCTCCCTGCTACTTCTGCTCGTTCCTGCTAAGAGCTCTCTGCTTCCTTCCCTGATGCTGCCTTATTCTTACCATGGGGACGCATCTTTTTTGCCACGAGTCCTGTAGTTCAGAATCTGCCTTTAGATCTGAGAATCAGTCATTCTCCTAGCAAGAGTCTTGCTTACCACCCTACGCTGCTGTTTTTCCCCTCCCCTTCGCCATGAGCAGCACCAAGAAGATCCCCAAGACTGCCAAGTCCGTCTTATGCGTTCCCCCTTTTATGTTTGTCTAGGGTCAGGGCCCAAAATATCAGGGTAAAACGCCCTGATTACCCTGGGGGCCGGCCGCTTTTTCAGGATTACCCTGCCGAAATCAGGAATGCATGATAGTTACCCTTCTCTAAAAAGAGCATGTTTTTTTTCACCCTGATACGATTTCAGGTTAGCCTGACGGAATCAGGGTACGGTGTACACTACCCTTTTACCGAATCTTTCGTAACGCGAATGAGACCACAGTCCGCGTGGTGACAAAATGTACCACACCCCCACAAACACCGGTTGTCGCTTGTGAGGACGCAGGGTAAAACTTGCTTCGCTGTCGGCAACGCGCCATGTTGCCCCATTTGTTGTTTCTCCCGCAGGACTGCCAACTCATTCTCGAATCTTGCCACCCGTTGCCACGCCCACCGCCAACACAGCGGAATTTGCTGTGAAGGACAGCTGCAAGCTGTCCTTAACAACAAATTGCAGCAGCAGTCCTGCCTTGCTGGCCATACACTCCCCTCCGCATGCAAGAAACGGCCCTTGAGAGTCAGCCAGAGGCTCGTTCTCTACGAGGGGGTCTGTCGCTTGGCCCTCATTCTCAACCATTCTCAACTTTCAGCTCGACAATGCCCACTGGAGAGCCCGATCCCCCTGATGGCGCGAGAAACGGCCTCTCTGTGCTGGGCGTTTTACCACGCTTTAGCGAGAAGTACGCCGTGCCCATCGCTCAGCCGCCGCCTCGAGAGCCGTCACCAGAATTTGTGGTAGGAATGGTTTATCCGTTCGAGCCGCCTGACTCACCCACGACGTGGGAGCCACATCCTGACATAGAATTGGTTCCCGGAGGTGGCGAGGGCTCGTCAAATCTGTTAGAGACTAAGGACGGAGTCTACGAATATTAGGTGCCTAAAATTCTCAAAATCGTTGGCTTAGAATTCTGGACAGAATAGTCGCGCTCACAAGAAACGCCGTCGACAAAAAACGCACAGTCAAAACTTCACCAAACTCAGATATGATGTAGCCCTAGTCCGTGGCTACAATTCCCAATTTGAATCGTATCAAGAGGTGAAGTAAATCTCGACTTATCAATTTCGGCGCACTAGGGGGTATGCTGCCATAGAATCTAAACTCAATCACAATAGTCTCACACAAGTTCACAATAACTACACAAGAGAGTTAGAATAGGAATAAACCAGGTGGGAGGGGATGAGGAGGACAAGAGGGAAGGTCCCAAGAGAGTCCCCAACCAAGGAAACCCCATGCCACACAATTCCCTTCCCCATAGGCAACCCAACCTTGACCTTTGTCACTATCCCAACCTCCACAATCCACCTCAACCCAACTTGGCCACACTTGCCAACCTGGTTTGGTTTCTCACAACCATTTGGCAGCAACTTCAGTAGAAAAGACGAATTTCACAACCCCCAAAAGTTTGTACCCCATATTGAGTCAACCCCACAACTTCCCACAGTTGCCACAATCAAATATGAAAAGCATACGAACTCCAACGTTCGTAACTTTCTTGATCGTGCTCCGATTGAGGCGATACTTGGTTCGTCGGAGAGCTCTTGAGCAGAGAAGTCACTTCAGATATCTGCTCAAGCCAAATAACATTTGCACACACTCAGAAAATTCAAACCACACAAAACACAATTTCTTGCACACGACGCGCACATATGATGCTCACACGATGCATGCAACGCACGAACATATGATGGGAGGCAGACAGACGTGAATGCATATGATTGCATCACACAACAAAATCCGCCTACAACTTCGCCATCGACGGTCAGCACCGCGTCCGTCAAGCGACAGCATGTGGGAGTTGCGTACAAGCAGCAGACGCTCTGGGGCGCCCCTCCTCCCCGAAACGCTACTTCCCACAAGCGCCCTGCTCCTTCGGCCGATCCGAAGCCACCCACCGCTCTGGCGGATGCTGAGTATGAATCGGTGAAGAAAACGTTTGAGGGTCAGTGGGCAGGTAGCTTCAAGTGGTTACGTTTGCTCCGCATGTCTAATGGCCGTCCGTCTTTGAAGTGTTCGATTTGTGTGAAGCATGGAGATCCACTAGCGCACACCGCGTACGGGGCAAAGGGTGAGGGTGCTCGGGATCTCCAGATCGGCAGCATCCACACTCACACCTCCTCCCGTGCACACAAGCAGGCGTTGGAGAGTCAAGAGAAGGCGGAGGCGGAGAAGGCGAAGCAGGCCACGATCACACGATGGCAGGCCACGGACGCTTCCACTCGTCACGTCATTCGGCTCCTCCACATCGCGCACTTTGTCTGTAAGGCCGACGCACCCATAGCGATGTTTGTCCCGCTGTGTTGGTTTCAGGCGAAGGAGGGGTTACCAGACCTCCCGCCCGCTGGCGGCTACGGCGCGTACTACACAGAGTAAGTGGTGGCCTGAATTGGTGATACTGGTGTATTCTTTATTATCCACACGGGTATTTGACCACCTCTGTTGTCCCCTCGCAGTTACGGCTTCAAAGAGAACCTGCGCGCCCTCTCAACATACCTCCAAGAGACACAGCGCCAGCACCTGCTCGAATCCCCCTGGATAGGGATTCAACTCGACGAGAGCACGGACCGTGTGAATGGGAAACACCTCATCCTATACGCCACGTTCTTCCAGCACACCACGGTGGTCACAGAGTTCTTGACACTCATTACCATTGACCGTTGTGACAGTGCCTCACTCACATCCACTGTCGTGCAGTATCTGACAGGTATCGGGGTCGACCTCCAGAAGATATCCAGCGTCGCCTCCGATGGTGCCAGCGTCATGGTCGGCAAGAACCGAGGAGTCGTGACACGGCTTCGTATGCGCATTCCGCATCTGGCCTCGACACATTGTATCGCTCATCGGTAAGCATCACAGTTGTGTGCTCCGTGCTGCTGTTTTACCAAGTGTTGAGATTGACTAACCATCTGTCGTGTTGCCCTTCTGCACAGGGAGGCACTCGCTGCCAGTGATGCTGCTGAAGAGGTACCTGAGCTGCTAATGATCGACGATGTCGTGCGCGCCTTCGCTGACCACATCGGTCGCAGCAGCGTGGACTACGCGAAGTTTCAGGAGCTGCAGCGGATCTTCTGCCAGACGAATCTCGAGGCGCAGGGGATTAGCGACACACGATGGCTCGCCCGTGGTGAAGCGATACAGCGCCTGCTCGACGTGCTCCCTACGGCCATAGTGGTGATGAAGGATTACAAGGCGGATCTGTACGAGGTGGTTACCTCGTTCAAGTTCCACTGGCTCATCCGATTTCTTGCGGATGTGCTTTGGGAACTGAACTGCCTTAACCAACGCTTCCAGCAGCGCCAGGTACGGGCCTTTGTTGCTCTCGTCTATGTTGTCGCATGCAAGCACGTGTACTACCTAACTCGCTGTCATGCCCGTCTGCAGGTGGGCATTACCCTTGTTGCGCACATCGTGCAGCAGACAAGGATGCGTCTGAAGACGCGGTATTCCCTCCGCGACCCTAAACACCATTTCGGCAGCAGGGAGAAAATGCAGCTCCCCGAGTTCATTCAGAGGCACGGGGCAAAGGATAAGCGCGAGATGAATGCGGAGGGCGTAGACGGGGACGGGAATCCCGTCACGTTTGAGTTCACGTTGCACGAGCGCCCGCTGCTAGGACACGAAACGGATGGTGATGTCACGGCGTGCGTCGAGCTGTCGATTAAGTATGTGCGCGCCATCGATAAAGAGCTGGAGTGGCGGATGCACGACCTGGAGCTGCTGGAAGGTTCGAAGCTGTTTCGCACAGCTTCGTACGTGTCCGACGACACAAAGCGACTGGAAACCTTCAAGAAGTGGCTCGGCCAGCTGCACAAGCTGTACCACCACAAGCTGCCAGGTAAGCCTTCTGCAGCGACTGCGCATGTTATGATGTGTGTTGTCGCAACGATGTCTGACATGAGGTTGACCAATACACATACTGCATACTGTTGCTTGTTGGACTAATGCCCCCCATCCCTACCCGTGTCTGCGAGCATCGGCGAAGCGTTCACCAAACCCCGCCCCACCACAGGGTTCGACTACAAGAGAGCCCAACAGGAGCTGTGGATGTTTACATCCACACTGTTCGCCCAGCACAACAATGAAGAATTCCATCAGGCGCTGACGAACATGCTGCGGGATGATGCATGGCGGGTCTCCTTCCCCAACATCATGCGGATGTGGCAGTCAGTGGCCGTGCTGCCATTGAGCACGGTTGAATGCGAGCTTGGGTTCTCGAAGCAGAATCTGATCAAGACTTGGGGGCGTGGCAGCCTTGGCGACACAAGCCTGGAGCATCTGATGCGATGCTCCCTGCTGCGGTACGATGTCGACTGGTTTGAGGTGGTCGCTATCTTTCGTGGAGAGAAGCTGAGGCGATCCACCAGGGAGTTCGACCCCACCAGAGCTTCGCAGACTGAGTTTGTAGAAGATGTAGGCAGTGGGGGTGGCACTGAATAGGTGTGTAGTGAATGTGTGGCTTATAGATCAAGGACTTTGGATGTGCTACGTACGTTATTAATTACGCTTTCACAAATCACTTAGCTCTCATAGTGGTACTCAAAACAGGATTAGCCAAAAACTACCCTGCTCAAATCAGTCTAGTGGTTGATTTACCCTGCTGCAAACAGGGTACGAAAAAATTTACCCTAGGGGTCTGTTCAAGGAGGGGGTGTTACCCTGATTTGTAAGGGTAGGCCAAAACCAATTTTGGGCCCTGTCTAGGGTGGTTTGCGGCTGCCACGCGGAGCGCCGAACGGCGGCTGCTATGCGGAGCGCCGAACTGCGCCGAACGGTTCGCTGGTTTCGGTGTCAGTTTCGGTTACTCACGCCGACGCGATATGGGTCGCGGTAGACGCGTTACAAGAGTCGCACATTGCTGAATCTGTTTGCTTATATATTGTTTGTTCTGTTTTGCATTGTCATCTCCAACTTTCATCTAAACCCAACTGTAAAATCCAGAACCGAAGTGCTGAAACCTGTCACATTCATAGTTACCAGAGACTAGTGCTAAGTAGCATTAGTAAGTATGAGAAATGAACTCGCCAAAGAATGATGAGGAAGAATGAGGATACCTAGGTGTTATATACTGGTACTAGCGAAGAGAGGCTAAGGAGGGCAGAGGGAGGAAGAGAGGCTTTGTAGTACCGTACATCACAACAGTCCTCACTTTCTCCAGGTTGGTCTTACAGGGAAAATGTCGAACCTAGTCCTGTTTCTGTACCAGGAATAGCATCATAGCTACTGCAATTAAAAAGCCTGGACCTACATGTATCACTAAAACAACCATCACAACCACCTGCTGGTGCTCGTGCTCGTGGTGGTATTGGTGCTGCTGCTGCTGCCATTACTGTTGGTGGTGCCACTGCTGCTGGTATAGCTCCTGTCCTCCTAAGTCCCCTCTGTGAACCTCCCCGAAACCTGAGCTCCTTTACAAAGGCTTCGAGAATAAAAGCAACCACCACATTAAGCACAAACACCACAATGACCACGTAAAACAGCGCAAAATACACAGTCGCCGTCCACTGCTGCTCTGCTGGCAGCACTGCCGCAACCCCATCCATGATCACATACCAGTTGTTTACGATACACAGGTTAAAAGCCACGGCCATCGAAGCCGGGAAGTCGTTGAAATTGAGTGGGAGGAAGCCGGATTGAAAGTAGTCTGTGGTTTGAAGCTGGGGGTGGTGTGAGGAGAGGAGGCCGCCAAAGAGGTGCATACCGGCGAGTGAGAAGAGGGAGAGGGTGGTGAAGAGGAGGGCGAGGATGGGGAGGATGGAGGGGAGGAGGGTAGCGAGGGAGGAGAGGAGGAGGTGTAGACGAGGGAGGTAGTGGGAGAATGGGAGGAGGGGGAGGCAGCGGAAGAGCAGTGCAGCTTGCAACCTGGTGGTGAGCAGGCCAGAGAGAGGTTGAGGGGATGGGAGTGAGGGGATGGGAGTGAGGGAGGGGGTTGTTAGAAGCAGGTAGTTATTTTATTTTATTTCTTTGATTTTTTTTTCTTTCTGTTTTATCCTCTGGGAAGACGTACGAGAGCACGGACATGGCATAGCAATCAATGGGCGCGACTTGGCAAACCGGTTTTAGGGCGTACGGAAGGTTAGGAGTTAAGACGTGTTTCAAGAGTTATGACAACGAAGGGACAGGATTTAGCATACCAGTGTAGCGCGTCAGAGAGATGCGGAGGCATGCTTGGCCTGAGAGCATGGGTCACAAACAGCTGAGGGAAAGTGGGTGGTGGTGATGGTGATGGTGATGGTGATGGTGATGGTGATGGTGATGGTGATGGTGATGGTGATAGGTCCCGCAGCAACAACCGTGGTGGTTGCAATATGTTCTCTTGCTCTGATGCTGCTGTTGCTGCTTCAGGTGCTGATTGTGCTGCTTCTGGTGCTACTAATGCGGAGCTTGAAGCTAATGACACCTGCACATGTACATGCTGCTTCTGCTGCTGCAAGTGCTGCTGCTGCAGATAGTTGAATTGATGCTTTTGCATCTCATGCTGCTGTTGCTGTTGCTGTTGCTGTTGCTGTTGCTGTTGCAGCTTGTAGTGGCCAGGAAATGTTGTGGAAGATCCAGAAGGGGAACGGATGGAGCAGAGAGGGAGGAGGAGGAGGAGGATA